ATAATAATGTATAATAACAATTATATATAGTAAATATATAAGAATTACAAATGAAGTATTAGTGAAATAATATTCATTTCAGAAATTTGAACACGTACTTATAATTGAGTAACGATCTGAGAGAGCTGTAAACAGTGGGATGACCCTGGTTGAATTAGCTGTTCTTTATTTTGAATCTCATTCAAAGTAAATTTAATGTACAGGCGGTCCTCACATTGCCTCATTTCTCAGGCTTATGTCAGTCTCCATCTCCAGGCTGCGTACTGTAGTCTCAAAGTTGCAAAATGGACTCAAACAGCGATTTTAGGCCTTATTTCTCAGAAAATTGATATTTGTGGCTGTTGAATCTGATTGTTTTTCAAGCAGTGGACTGACTTTCACTTGTAATGTATTTTTCGGTTTTGTTTTTAATTAGAAAACAAATATGTCACTTGAAATGGATTTGAGGCAAATTGTGCCTCCAGCAGATTTTCTTTAAATGGCTAAACAAAGTTTAAAAAGCAAGTAGTAGTACAAAAACTAGTGCACAAGTACCTGGATAAAACATGTTCGGTAATAGTGCAACTTAAAATTATTTTTATTGTGCACATGTACATGCAATGCCCACAGAGACCAGAAAAGGGCATCAGATCCCCCTGGAACTAAAGTTATAGACAGTTGTTAGCTGCCATGTGGGTGCTGGGAACGAAACCCAGGTCCTCTGTGTCTTTCATTTTTCTTGTCAAACATTCAGGGACATCAATTCAATTGTGTTGTTACCATCTGCATCTACTTCATTAATTATGTCCTGTAACTCTGCTCCTATAGGATTCTGTCCAAGAGACCTCGTTACAGTTCCCCATTCCTTTGTTGTTAGTTTCATCACCATCCTTGTCAAATAGTGAAAAGCCTCTTTTGAATTCTGCAGTCTGCTCTTCAGTCAGTTGGTCAGCTATGCTGCAAGGGCTACTGATTTCTGAGACATGACCACATAACCACTCAGTTGGCTTGCTCCACTCAGAATCTTTCATTTTGCTTTGTTTAGTTTAGTTTTTTTTTTAAAGACTGGGTCTCACTTTGTAGGCCTGACTGACCTGGAGCTCAGTATGTACAACACACTGGCCACAGTCTCATAGAGATCTGCCGGCCTCTGCCTTCTGGGATTAAAGGCATGGGCCACCACACCGGCTGTACATATTTTTTAAGCTATTAATTTATTTTTAAAAAATTTATTATTTTTATTTTATGTGTATGCATGTATTGCCTGTGAGTGCTGGGAATGAAACCCAGGTCCTCTGCAAGAGCAGCTGGTGCTCTTAACTGCTGAGCCATCTCTCCAGCCCCAATAGTGCAACTTTTAAGTAACATGTAAGTAAATGCACTTGTGTCTTGAAATGCCTGCGGAGGACAGAAGAGGTCGTTGCATCCCCTGGAACTGGAGTTACAGACAGTTGTTAGCTGCCATGTGGGTGCTGGGATTCGAACCCAGGTCTTCTGCAAGAATAGTCAGTGTTCTTAACTGCTGAGCCATCTTTCCAGCCCGAAGCTATTAATTTCTTGATTCATTGATAAGAGCACTCCTGGCATCATCATCATCACTACCATCATCACCATCATCATCGTTATAGCTAATAGCTGGTTGTGTGCATTATTTCACTTAATCCTTAGTTGACTCTTTGAAATAGGTTTTGTTATAATATCTATTTTATAGAAAAAGCACGGGACATGGCGGCTATGAACGATCCTTTGTTCCAGGGGAATCCAAAGTCCTCTTCTGACCTCCACGGCATTGCACGACATGGGTGCACTCACATACATGCAGGCAATACACTCATACATATAAAATGAAAATAATACATAAAATATTTTTTTAAAAAAGAAAAAACTATGTTTTCACAGAGAAGCTAAGGCACACAGAGATACATAATTTGCCAGTACTTACACAGTAACAGACTCTGGCATAATAGAGGCCATTCAACCAAAATTTGTTGAGTGAATTATATATTGTATTATTAACTAAGGATACAGATTCGGTTTCTTGCTATTTTTCCATGTGAAAGAATTATACTGGTGGCTGGGTGTGATGGCACACACCTTTAATCCCAGCACTTGGGAGGTAGAGGCAGGCAGATCTCAGTGAGTTGGAGGCCAGCCTGGTCTCCATAGCAAGTCCAGGCCAGTTGTGGCTACAGGGAGACCCTAATCCACCCCCCCCGGCAAAAAAGGAATTAAAAGAATTATACAATTATATTAGTGTTTTGATATAAAGTATAGGTTTTAATTTTTATTGAATGAACTGTGGTCTCAGGTCCAGGGAAACAACCTAGGCAATAGAGTTGTTTGTCTTGTAATCATGAGGACCTGAGTCTGATCCCAGAATCTTAAAAAACAAAACAAACAAAAAAAAATCCCAAAACTAGGTATGTTGGCACATGCTTATAATCCCATAATCCCAATATTAGAGAGGTGGAGAATACCAGATCCCTAGGTTCAGTGGTTGGCCAGCCTAGTGGTCTACTTGGCAAATTCCAGTGAGAGACCATGTATCAAAAGACAAGCGGGACAGTGCCTGAGGATGATACCTTTAGCCTTCACATGCACAAACAAACATCCCTATGAGCATGCATGGGTGAACAGATACACACACACACACACACACACACACACACACACACACACACATATGCACACACATTTCTTTTGACAGCAGTATTTGTACCATATAAGTATGAGAAGCATGACTGTCATAGGTTCCTCTAATGATGTCTTGTACTCTGAAATGATTGTGCTGTAATAATTTGGGGTGTAATTCTCCCTCCTACTTAGAACCTTGCTAGTCACCCTCAGAATTTATCTAGCACTGTTATAAGATGAAAATGATAATAATTTGAGAAAACAGTGTTTGAAAAAAATCACTCTTCCTATTTTACTTTTTATTGAGAGACAACACAACTTATCAAGGTATTGTCTTTGACCTTAGGGACAGATTCAGTTTCTTAATATTTCTGACTTCATAAAGACTGTTCTTTGGGAGCTGGAGAAATGGCTCAGTGGTTAAGAGCACTGGCTGCTCTTGCAAAGGACCCAGGTTCGATTCCCAGCACCCACATGGTAGCTAACAACCATCTGTAACTCCAGTTTCAGAGGAATCCGATGCACTTTTCCTACCTCGCAGGCATTGCATGACATAGGTACACCTACCTACATGTCGGCAATACACTCATACACATAAAATAATAAATAAAAAAATGGGGGGGGTCTTTTTTTTTTTTTATGCCTGTT